ACCGGCAGCTCTACCCTCTCGCGTGGGGCCAGCGCGCCTTAATTGAAGACCGGCACGGCGCTGCTCGCCTCACCTGATGCTGTCACAGGAGCACGGCGCTGGCTGAGACAGCGCAGTCAGGAGGGATTAACATCAGCCGGCTGGTGGGAGCCGACGGGGAAGTCTCCTGCGGGCTGGCCTAACTCTGGCTGGGAAGAGCAGGCACCCACTCAACTTGAAAAACTGCCTGGGAGAGATGGGCCCTTTCCTCTCTCCTCCGCCGCAGCTTGGGCAACGCAGAGCCCTGGGGCTGGATCCGGCCTTGGGGAGACGGCAGCGAGGTCGGGGTGCTGGGAGGCTCAGGATCAGGGAGCGGGTGGCCGCATCGCTCCCACCCTTCCTGAACCCGTCACTGGTTCCTTTTACTGCTTCTCAGCAGCTTTTGAAAGCAGAGAAGAAGAAAAGAAAAGGCTTGAAAAGCACTTTGAAAAGCAGGGCAGGGAGAAGCGCCCGAGTTTCCCAGCAGCCCCATCCCCTCCTCCTGCTGCCAGCGCCTGCCAGCTTTGTCTGCCGACACAGCCTCGGCCGCGCAGGAGATACTGCTGAACGAGCCGGGTGCATTCCCCAAGCCTCGGTGCTGCAGCAGGGCATAGGGATCACTCTCTGGACACACCAGGGTGCTGGGAAGGGGGCATTGCCCCCCCAACCCCCCCAAACCCCTCCAGCGCCTGGGCCCAGTGCTGGTTGCTGCCAGACACCTCCCCAATAGCCCCCGCCAACCCCACGGACACCAGCTTGCACCCACAGCCGTGGGGTTTTACCCCTTCCCCGTGCCATTCGCCATGGGATGAGCAGTTAACCGGCGCACCCCGGCAGAACCACACAGCCCGCTCACCGCTGGCACCCGTGGGTGCACGGGTGAGCACCAGGACAAGCTGTGTGCAGGTCGGAGCCTGCAGTCCCTCGCCTTTCCCACCCGGCACGCTCCCCTGGCCGGCAGTGCCGCAGAACAGGCTCGCAGAACCCGCTGCCCACCCGGGAACCCATTGCCCGGCCACAATGCAGCCACCCCGGCTTTCCCCCAAGGGGATCCCACCTGGAGCGTGGCTGCTGCAGGGACCCACCGTGGCTGGCAGTGCCCGTGGAAACCCCCTGCCCTGGCAACAGTTTCGGCGCAGGGACCCCTTCGGATGGGGTGCCACGGCGCGAAGCGGGCACCCACGCCGGCAGGACAGGGTGCACAGACCTGGGTCCGTCCTCTCCGCCGCTTTCCTCTCCCCGCCGTCCCGGGAAAGCTCCGCTGCCGTCCCTGCTGCCGGCAGCTCTGCCCATGCCGCGGGCTTCGCAGCCTGGCACGGCGCAGGAGGCGGCAGGGCCTGAGGCACGTGGGGCTCTGAGGATGCGCCGAGTCCTGTCTAGTCCCCAGCATGGCAGGAGGGGCTGTCCCTGTCCCCGCAGCCCAAGGCAATGGAAAGGTGGGGACACTCAGCTCTGCCCCGGGAGCTGGCGGGGAATCGGGAAATCTGGAGGAAAGGGTAAGCCCAGGCTGCAGGGTTGCTTCTCCTCCACTGCACACCGAGCAGTTCTCTTTGCTCTGGTTACTCCTTGCTTGATCTAATCTCAACCTGGAAAATAAACTGTTACTACCTGACTCCTCCAACACCAACACCGCTTCAGCTAAAAGAAATAAGTAAAAATAAATCACGGAATTCAGCCCAGCTTTACAGGTCACAACCCCTGTTTCTGGCACGTAAACATCTCTCCATCACATCGAGGGCAGCGAGCGGGTACCGCTCCAGTGCTGCCCCATCCGCACGGCAAGGTCTGAGGGTACAGCTTCTCCCCTCTGCCCCGCTTTGGCTCACCCAGCCCTGCTAAGCGAGCAGTGTTCTGCCCTTGGGAGAACCACAGGCCACCGCCAAGCCACAGTCAAGAGATACGTCAAGGCCAATTCGGTCCCCGGGGACTAATTGCTACCGACAGCTCGCCCTGCTTGTCTGCTGCACAGAGCAGCCTGGAGAGCCGGCAGCGCCGGCAGCAGCAGGGCTGGGCACGGGCAGCTCAGACCTGCCTGGAGGGACTTTTGGAAAAAGCCGGTTGTGGCAGCAGCATGGTGAAAGCCAAGGTGGGAGAGAGGTGGCTGTGCTCAACAGGGAGCACGGCATCTTCCCCCACGAGCCCAGCCGGTCCGGTTGCATCTGTGCCGTGGGGAAACTGAGGCAGTACTGGTGAGCGAGAGCTCCCGCTAGTGCTGCTGGTACTCAGCCCACCTCTGCTGTGCCCATACTGGGCTTTGTGTCCTGCGCAGCTCCAGGACCATCCTGAGGAGGTTCCCTGGTGAGCAGAGAGCTAACCCACAGCCGCAGTGGGATGTGGGATCCACTGATTCCTCAGGTGCTGCATCCTTCAGCTGCGGGAAACCACGAGCAGAAAGGGATCGCCTTGGCTTCACTGCCACAGGGCCCCAGGTCCTCCGGCCACAGCCACACCGGTGGCTTCACCTCCCGGCATGGCACAGGTCCAAACCTGCCGCAGACGTTGCTGCACCCTCTGGCTTTTCCTCCTCATGGCCAGGGCAGGCGAGCAGGACCTGGGCTCTGCTCTGCCTCGGCTGCCGGGGCTGTGGCACACTGCCGTGCCGGGGAGCACACGCAGACCCCACGCAGGAGACTCCTGGGACCTGCATCCCACCATCCCTGCAGTGGGGGACGCATCCAGGGACCCCGTCGGTGGGTCATTGCTGCTCACAGGGGCTGGCACGTGCCCTGCGCTGGAGGGGAGCATCCCTCGCACGGGGAGAGTCCCTCGCACGGGGAGCACGCCTTGCGTGGGGAACTCGCCTGTGTTGCTCGACTCCTCAGACCTGCTCTGCCCCGCGTCTCTGGCGGCTCCGCGTCCCAGTCGCGGTGGGAGGAAGGTCTCTCTTGCACAAGCTGGGACGCCTGGGGCTGGAGCTGGGCTGCAAACGAGGGGCAGGATTTGGCTGGACAAGCGCAGACCCCCCTCCCTGACTGCCCCCGTGCAAAATATCTCCATCCCAGCGGAGCATCGGGGCTCTCTCCGCTGCCCAGGGAGAGGACGGGCACCCCTGGGTGCTGCGCTCCCTTCGGCGCCAGCTCCCAAGTAGGTCAGATGAGTCACCTGCCAGAAATGCCCTCTGCTCAAGGCGATGCGCCAAGGCAGGGACGCCTTTTCCATCGGTGGCCACCGCAGCATCCGTCCCGTTTCTCCCCCAGCCCATGGGATGGGCGAAGGGGGGCTGTGGCACTGGGTCGCACACGCCCCCCCCCCGGCTCCAACCGTTTCCCCAATGCAGCACCTGCAAAACGCTCCCTCTGGCAGCCCCAGACCCTTCCCCATGCTGGGGTGAGGGTCCGGGCATGTGCCCACAAGGGGGTCTGAGCCCTCCGCGGGGTCCTGCGGCAAGAGGCTGTGCAGACCCCACAGCCCCCAGTCCTGGAAGCCCCCGGCAAGGGAACAGCCCCCGGCCAAGGAAGCGGGGGCCGGTGCTTTGCTAGCGCTGCCGGGAGGCTGAGCCTTCCCCAGCCCTTGGCTCCAGAGCCATGCTGTTTGCTGCCAGAGGGCTGAAGGCGATGAAACCCCAGCACATCACCTGGATTTTCCTGCCAGGCTTGAAGGGCAGAGCAGCCCACACCCGGTAAGCGTGGTGGCGAGTGTGGTTGCAAACCACCCCAGGAGAAATCCCTGGCGCTGGTGATGCTGAAAGCACCCGGTGCAGTGGGGTCACCTCCCTCCTCCCCTGTCCCACCACCAGGTCCTGTTTTCCTCCAGCTACAGACCCCACTGGGATGGAAACACAGCCATCACGGCTCCCCACACCGTTCTGGACCCTATCCCAGCACCGCAGCCTCTGGCACCCTCTGCCCAGCTCCTTCCCCAGTGCCATAGGGCCGACACGAGCCCGGCCAGGACAGCAGGACAGACGGACGCATCCCGCCAGCCCCTTCGCCGACGCAGCAGGGTGACAGAGAGGTGAGACTGGCTGATCCTCAGGCTGTTTATTGGCATCTCCCTCGGCTCAGCCCGGGCGCCACGGCCCCGCCGGGCTGGTGCCTGGCTCACCGGTAGGCACTGCGGGGGTTTTGCCATGCAGAGACCACCAACACGGCCACGGCCCTGTAGCCCCCACCCTGGGACATCGCTATCCCCTCGTGCTCCCAGGTCTCTGCACAAAACCCCATTAAAAAAAAAAAAAACCCAAACCACCAGAAATGCAAAGGGGTGGTTACGGTCGCCGCATCGCCCCATCTGAGCCCTCGCCAGAGCCTCTGCACGGCTCCGGGGTGCAAAATCAGTGGGGACATCAGCACCTCGTGCACCCCGGCAGGGCTCTCCTGGGGTTTAAGTCCTGGGTTCTCCTGGGGGGGCGGAGGGGGCTGTGCTGGGCCAGGCACAAATGAGGGGAGGAATTAATTGCCCCTGGGTTCCTAGCACAGTGGCTGCCCCCTTCTCCCAAAGGCTGGGGGATCCAGGGTGGGGCTTTCCTGGCCAGCACTTTTTAAGATCAGCAGAGCTCCTCTTCTCCTCTGCAGTCAGGGGTCTCTGTCACCGCTTGTCCCCAGGTCCTGGGGGAGCCAGAAGCGGAGGCTGGTGGAGGGACCGGGGTTTGGCACGGCGAGAGCCCCTGCACCCAGCCCGGCAGCACCCATAGGACCCCAGTCAGCAGCTCAGGGGCAGCCAGGGCAGGTGGCAAGGGCAAAGTCTGGTGCAATCCTGCCGGCCCCCCAAGCCCTCCAGCCCCACCTCGGCTGAGGAGTCCATAACGCAGAAAGCTTTGGCCAAAAAGAGGAGCTGGGTTTTTTTCCCTAGCCCCAGGGAAGGCGCTTGGCGTTCTGCTCCGGCACTGCAGAGAAAGCGAAACACCCGCCGGAGCGCCGAGCCCGAGGCCGCTGCCCGTCACGGTACTGCTGCCATCCCCAAGGCCCTTCGGCCTCTCTGCTTCCTCCTCCTCTTCTCCCCCTTGCCACCTTTTTCTTTTTTCTTAATTTCTTGGGGCTTTTCTTTTTTTTTCTTTTTTTCTTTTTTTTTTTATGTTTTTTTTTTCCTCCTGTTTGTTTTTGCTTCTGTTTAAATATCAAACAAAAGAAGAAAATCCAGCGATGGGGGCTCTGGAACCAGGGGCCAGGCTACTGGGTGGACGGTAGAGTGTGCCGGGCTGGCTGGGGGGGTTGCCGGGGGTCTGGGGGGTGGGAGTCCTGCTGGCTTTGGGGCGGAAAAGGCTGCCCTGCTGCGTGGAGGTACTGTTGGAGAGGGGCGCGTGGTCGGGCTCCCCTGAGTCGCTCTCGGTGTAGCTGTACGCCTGCGCCCGTGAGATGCCCTTCTGCTGCCGCCGCCACGAGTTGTAGTAGGTAGGGTCACTGATGTAGTGGTTGACGAAGGAGTGGGCTTTCTGGTGGCCAGGGTCCACCTCATATTCGCTGTCGCTGCCCTAAAAGAACAGGATGGGGAGGTGAGCATGAGGTGGGGGGGCATCACCCACCAGCCCCCAAAATAGGGTGACCTTTCCCAGTGCTTTTTTGGGGATGCTGGCAAGCACATCCCAAAAGACTTTAGGGGCTGGGATGGCTGCAGCGCTGCTGGGGTGTTTCTGCCTCTTGCTAAAGCAAAATAAAACCTCATACAAAAGGGCTGCAGGGTCTTGGGGCTCCGGGGGGGGGTGGTCCCCGAGGCCGTGATACCCCCGGGCTGACGGGGAGGGTGTTTTTGGGAGGCGGGTGCTGGCGACCCTGCCTGCCCGCTGGCAGTAACTGGATTCAGCTTCCCCTGGCCGTGCACAAAGGGCCCATTGAGGGCGGTGGGGAAGCTGCTCCGAGCCAGCGCCAGCTCCCGCTGCTCTTCACAGCTCCTCAAAAGCCACTCGAGCCTCGCGCAGGCAAGAGGGAGCGGAGCCGGCATCTGCTGCGCAAAGGCAAAAGAAACAGCCGGTGTAGGCAATGACATGGGGCCCCCCTGGGGCTGATCCCCCTCCTGCTCGGTGACAGCCGTGGGGACCCCCAGGACCTCCCCTGGGCTTCAGCCTCGTCTTTTCAGATGCCGCCCAGCATCCATCCCGGGGGCAACGCTCCCATGGCCTCCCCCGGAGCTGCTTGCCTGAGGAGCTGCCCGCGGCCACGCTCCTGCCCGGCCACAGCTGCCCGTTTCTCCGGGAGGAGACAAAGGTGCCATTTTGTGGGATTGGCAGAGCCGCGGCCGTTGCCACCAGCGACCGGGCAGCGGGACAGTCCCCAACCCCGCTGCCCTCCCGTCCCCTGTCCTCGGCAGCCCTGGGGCTGGGGGCTACACACGGGCTGGGGGCTGTGCCAGCTTCGCTCTGGCTCCGTGCCACGAACCCACGGGGGATGCTGCTGCCTAAAAAGCAGCACGGGGTAGGAGAGAGGGACCAGCGTTGCTTTTCCCAAATGCGCACCAGGACCTGCATCGTGGTGGGCAGAGGGCAGGGGCGATGCTCAGGGAGGGCTCCCAGCACCGTCCATCCTCTGCAAGGTCCCCATCCCCATGGGCAGCCCCAGGTGGTCACCTGAGAGTCGGAGACCTCGGAGGGCTTCTCCGTCAGGCTGCTGCTCTCGGCAGGGATCAGGTCGTTGTACTTGGTCACGTCCTCGTCCGAGTAGTGGAGGCTGCCGGGGCTGGGCCGTGGCGGGGACCTTGGGGAAAAGTGGGTGCTCAGCGCGGGTCCCCCATTGGGGCTGTGCCACACAGCGATGAGCCCAGCCGAGCCCCGGGGCAGGCGCAGGGACCACCCCCTAAGCTGTGTGGAGCCCCCACCAAGGACCCTGCCTATGGTCCATTCCCAGCTTTTCAGGCTGTTCAGCATCCTGGCACATCAGGTGCCAGCCTTCCCCAGTCCCGTGCCCATCCCACAGGTGCACGATGGAGGGACAGGCACGATATCTGAAAAAATCCCCCCCCCGCCCGGGGAAGGGGCTGCGGCGAGGGGTCCCTACCGGGTGTAGATGCCATTCTTCCGGCAGAAGGAGTTCTTGACGGAGAGACGCCGGTTGTTGAGCTCCAAGGCGGGGAAGCTGCCCTCGTCCAGGCTCACCATCTCGCCGTGGCTCAGGGCGGTCGCCTTGGAACCGTTCCCTGCGGGATGGGATGCTCAGCCTTCCCCAGACCCTCCCCAGGCAGCACAGCATGGAGGGGGCTGGACCCTGCACAGGGGGGGACCCAGGGAATGGCCCAGGGAGGGTTGTGCCAGCTCCAGCGTTGGACAGACCAAAGCCTGGGGATGCCCACGATGTGCCAGTCCTGGGGCATCGGCCACGCATCAGCCCCGTGCCCAGCATCGCCAGCCGTGCCGAGCCCTGCCTGCCTTGGCTCACACCCTGACCTGCCCCATCGCCTCTGGCTCCCAGCTCAGCTGCTCTGTTTGCTTAACGAGGAGGTCTGGATTTTCCCCACAATTTGAGCCCTTGATACAGCTAAGAAAACAGAGCTGTGTTTGACTAATCCCAATGACCTCTGCCGAGCCCCTGGGCTGCCCTCCCTCTGCAGCTGACAGTGGGACAAGTCGCTTATTTAATCTCTAGTTCCCAGTGCTCTCCGGGAAGCCCACAGCATCTTTATCGGATATCACCGAGTCTCTGGAGGAGCCATGCCCCAAGGCAGGCTCCCACCACCCCGCTCAGACCCCAAAGGCAGGCAGGGAGGCCCCAGAGAGGCTCCTATGGGATTGGGGCTCTGCATCCTCCAGCAGGCACCCCAGAGGGTCCCATCACCACCCACCACATCCCCGGCACTCACCTGAGTCTGACTTCTTGGCGTACTTCTTGCTCTGCCCGCGGATGATGAGCACAAAGACGAGCAGGAGGATGAAGATGAGCCCCACCAGGGCGATGACCACCAGGAACCACCACTCCTCATAGAACGGGTTGGCTTTCTGGGCTGGGGCACAGCAGGGAGGATCAGAGGGGGACAGGCATGGGGGGCAAACCAGTATGGGTGGGTAGACCCCACTGCAGGGCATGGAGTCTCCTTGGGGAACTTTGTGAGACCTGGATCCACGTGAGGGAGGGGGTTAAAGGGGGATAGCAGGAGGCTTTGCAAGTGCAATGCTGGCAGAAGCTGCTGGCAGCAAGAGCTGGGGCTCTGTAGGAGCCAAGCAGGGTCAGGGAGATGGGTTTCAGTGATGGCCATGGGAACAGAGCAATGTTGGGACTCTCCCTCCGGCACAGGGGTGACAGCATCCCCCCGGGGACACCCACATGCTGCCCCCGCTGGCTACCTGACACGGAGGGGGAAGGCGTGCTGGGGGTCCCATAGCCATAGTCATTCACAGCGATGACACGGAAGTCGTAGCTGACCCCCTGCTTGAGGATATCCGTGCTGAAGGTGTAGGAGGTCACCTCCTTGGGGATGTCTTTGATGAGGATGTCCCAGAGCCCCTCGTCTGGAAAAGAGAAGGGGCCTAGGAGGGGGAGACCAGCTCTGCAGGACTCCCCAGGGCGAGAGGCTGATCTCCCTCCATCCAGGAGTGTGTGCCCTACGCCATCTGCCTGGCCCTCCTGGCCCTGGCAGGCACCGAGCTCACTCGCTGCAGCATCATTAAAAAGCTGTAGCGATGCACGCAGCTGATTAATCGCCTGCCCTGCTCAAAAGCCCAGGGCAAGGCAGCTCCCTGGGGACCTGCTCCCACTGCAGCCCCGGAGCAGCGCCAGCAGCTCCACAGGAGCGAGGGGTTTCCCTCCCTGGCGCTGCTCCCAATGTGAGAAGTGGTACCGACCCCTGTTAGCGATCGATTGGGTCGTCTGAGCTGCGGTCTCTGCGGCAGGGAGAAATAATTAACTCGGGGCTGCAAGAGACAGTGTGGCTGTGCCTGCTGGCTCCCTGCCATGGGGATGGGGAGTCCCAGCTTCCAGCCTTGCCTGCCCCTGCATGCACAGGAACAGGGCCTCCCTGTTTTGGGATAGCCTTGGTACCCCTCAAACCCCCTTGCATGGCTGGGGGAGCATCAGGACCTCCGTGCCCGTGAGAGCAGCAGCATCGGCAGCGTGGTCCTCATGGACCGGCACATGGCCGACATCCCAGACACCCGGGTCCTAATCCCCAGCCCAGCCTGCCGGGTGGCCTGGGAGAGGTCAGCACTCCCTGCCTCAGTTTCTCCTGAATCCAAGGCACTGCTGATATTGAGGTAGGGATGGAAAGCAGACAGGAGCTGCAGTACCTGAAGGACGGGCTTCGATGACGTATCTGGTGATGGGTCCTTGGCCGGGGTCCCCACTCGACCAGTGGATGGTGATAGCTGAGCCGTAGCGAGAGATGAAGGGCTCGCCAGGGGGGCCGGGGGCACCTGAGGACCCAGAGCAGAGCTGGAGGCAGGGGGGTACAAACTGGCATGTGGCCATACCAGCCCTGGTGGCACTGGGGGAACTGTCCCCACCACATCTCCTCCCTCACTCCGGCACAGCCGTGCCACACATCCCCCCCTACCTTCCCCAGGCCCAGTGGTGATGTTTGCCTCAACGTCTGGCCCGTAGGCAAAGGTTTTGGCCCGGATTCGGAACCGGTATGTCACACCCTCGGCCAGGTCCTTCACCTTCATCCACAGCGGGCTGTTCCCTTTCACATCCACTGTCACGATCTTACTGACACCTGCGGGGATGGAGGCTGAGCTGGGTCTTCCCCAGAGCCCTCCCAGCTCCTGCCAATGCCCCCAGCCTCCCCCCAGCACCCCCTGCCGTCCCCTCACCGTCCACGGGCATGCAGGGCTCGTAGCCCAGCCTGTAGCCCTCGAGGACGCCGTTGGGCAGTGGTGGTGGCTCCCAGGACACGTTCACTGATGTGGTGGTCAGCTCGCTGAATCGGATGGACCCGGGAGCGCTGGGGGCTGTGAGGGAGCAGGGTGGCCGGGGCCAGCTCAGCACTCCCAGGGGTGACCCCCAGCACCAAGCCAGCCCCTCTCCCTGCCTCCACCTTAACGGGGCTGGGGCACTCGTCATCACCATCTCACACCACCCTGGTGCCACCCCACTGCGCCTTCATCCCCACTAAAGCAAAGACCCTGCCAGGCCACCGCGCACAGCTGGGGGAATGAGTCTCCTTCTCCTTGTCTCTCCTCCTGAGACCTTCATCATTCCCAAATCTCAGCCAAGACCTTCACCTCCACGTGCCCCCACCCCACAAACCCTCTGGGGTGAGCCCAGGGCTGGTCTCTGCTCGGGACTGCAGGAGCTGGGGTGCAGCTGGGATGAAGGGGCATCAGCCAGACATCACTGGAGCTGGACCCATGGAGACACCTCCCCGCAGAGCCCAGGGGCAGGAAGGTCTGGATGTGACCGTGCTGAGTGAAGGGCTGGGGGCAGCCGTGCCATGGGCCCCACCTGCCTGCTGCGTTCGCCCCTTGACGGGGGGGCTGCGGGGTCCGTCTCCCGCAGCATTGAAGGCGGCGACGCTGACCCAGTACGAGGTGTACCCCGTCAGGTTCTTCAGCTTCACCCCGTTCTCGGGCAGAAAGAGCGTCTTCACCCGCGCGCTCTCGTTCTGGCTCTGGGCCTCCCAGAAGTGGATCTGCAGGAGGAGGAGGAGGGGGCATGGAGACCCGGGTGATGCGCAGATCCAGCCCATCTCGCCTTCCCCACACCCTTTGCTATGCCCAAACACCTTGCGCAGCCCCGTCCGGGCTCCTAAGCCCCTATATCCCAGAGTGGCTGGGGTTCTGAGCATGCCGGAGTGAATGGAACGGCTTCTCCTCCAGGATGGCTCCAGGCTGTGCTGGGCATCAGACATGACCCCGGCTCGCAGCTGGCTCAGGACCCAGCATCAGCACGCTAAGATCACCTTTGAGCTGTGCCTAATTCTCAAAGGACGGCTCCGAGCAGGAGGAATCACCGTGGATGTGACCAAGGAGGTGCCTAGAAGCGTGGGGCTGGGCATCCCGGCTCCATCCCGGCTGGATCCGAGGACCGACGGCGCCATCTGCCGCCCCGCGGCCGCTCAGCACCGGGATGGGACACCCGGCATCTCCCCGGGATACCCAGCATCTCCCCCAAATCCCTTCCCCAACGGCATGCATAGCATCTCCCAGGGCACCCAGCATCTCCCCGACACCTGACATCTCCCCAGATCCAACAACGCAGCATCTCCCAGGGGAGCTCAGCACCCCCCAAAGACACCCAGCATCTTCCGAGGGCACCCTGTGCCCCTCCTCTGCCAGAAACCCAGCACCTTCCCAGTGCACTCAGTGTCTCTGAGCCCCGGCTCGGTGCCAGCCCCACAGGACGTGGTACCTTGTAGCCCTGGATGTCCCCGTTCTGGCTCTCGGCCGGTGGCGGTTCCCAGGTGACATCCAGCTGGGTGGCCGTGGCCGCCTGCACCGCCACGTTCTGCGGCGCGCCGGTGGGCACTGTGCCGAAGGAGGGGACAGTGTCACAGCCCAGCCGGGACCAGGGAGGGGAAAGCCCCCCCTTGATGCGAGGGTCCCACTGCCTTGTTTTGGCATGAGCGTGGGGTGCCAGGGCAGTGGAGCCCCCTCCCCGCAGCTCCCGGCCGTGGGCAGCCCCTCACAAGGTGGGACCATGCTGGCAGACTCACCCGCTTCACCCACAAAGACCTCCTGGGGGGGGCTGGGGGGGCCCTCGCCCACGGCATTATACACACTCATGCGGATCTCGTAGCGCCGGTGCTTGCTTAGGTCTGCGGGGGGGAAAGGGGAGAAGGGCTGAGTGGAGCCCTCCCTGCAGCCGGAGGTGTGGGGGTCCTGCTACCCCGGGGGACCCAGCAGAGCCCCCCCTTGCTGGGGAGGCTCCCCAAGGAGCAACAGGAGCAGACAGGCAGAGGTGTCCCCGGGCACGGGGCATGCGGTTCACCCCACGGCACAGGCAGGCAGAAGGGAGGGACACACGGGGGGGGTGGCAGTGGGGAGGACACGTACGGGGGGGGCAGGGGAGCAGTGACTTACTGTCCAGCTCATACTGGGTGAGGGAGACCTCGCTGAGGTTGTGCACGGCGTAGACGGCTGGGTGGCACAGGGCAGGGAGAGCAGGCAGCTGGTTAGTCCCGCAGGTGGCACGAGTGGGTTCCCACCTCTGAGCACCCACCCCAGCACAGCTGCCCACCCCAGGGTGGGCCAGGGGTCCCCTCCAAGGGTCCTGTCACCCCCTCAGGAGCCAATGGAGCTGTCACAGCACCAAGGAGACTTTCCATCCTCCAGCCCCATCCCCTGAGCGGCACAAGCTGGGCATCGGGGTCTCCACAGGGGGGTCTGACCACGGCTAAGAGTGGTGGATGGGGCAAAGTCTGGTCTTAGGCTCTGCCCTTGTCACTCATGTCTCTGCTGTCCCCAGAGTGGATGTGACCCTGTTCCCTTTGGGGTCTGAGGACGGCAGCAGACCCAGGCACACACAGCGGGACGTCACACAGACAACCCACGTTAGGTGCAGACACACGGACACCCACGCTACAGGGACACGGGGACTGAGCACAGTGGGACTGAGCCAGCGACACCACAGACAAGCGTGTTAGGGACCATGGACCTGGTGGCACGAGGGGGCCGGTGACAGCTCCGTGGGGCACAGCTGAACCCTGACAACTCCAGGCTGGTACCCAGGAGAGGCCGTGGAGCGCAGGATGCTGCCCTGCGCCATCCTCCATCTGCCGCTGCTGGGTCACCCCCCCAGCCACACACGGGACCCCCCCAGGGTCCACGGGCACTCACGGGTGAGCTCGGCCCACGTGGCACCAGGGTTGCCGATGCCGCGCAGGGTGAAGCCGCGCAGGCTGTCGTACACCAGCTCGCGGTAGCGGAGGCGGAAACCCAGCAGGATCCCGTTGATCTTGTCCTCGGCTGGGGGCTGCGTGGGGAGGACGGTGAGGGGCTGCTCTGACCTGGGGCTCCCCGGCACCCCGAGATGGCTGTCCCCAGTATGCCCCAGTGTCACCTCCCAAGGGGGCAAGCGGCCAGCCCTGTGACACTCCGCAAGGTGGAGGGTACTGTACCTGCCAGCGGATGAGCACCGACGTGGTGGTATGTGGGGTGACGGAGAGGATGGTGGGGGCTTCCTCGGGGGCTGGCGGGGGGGAGAAGGGGGCAGTGAGGGTTCAGAGATGCCCTGGGCATGGGGGGATGCCCAAGCAGGGGGGCAACCCCTCTCCCTGCCCCAGGAGCCGCAGCCTGCTCTGACCTGCCTGCAGGGTGGTGAGCGACTCCGACTCCTCGCTGTACTCGCTGTCCCCGATGTCGTTCGTCGCCTTCACACGGAACTTGTAGGAGGTGAAGGGCTTCAGCCTGGATGGAAGCAGAGCAGGTTGGTGATGGTGAGACCGGTGGATGACCCCATAAGCCACCCTCCCTCCCGCAGGGCACATCGGCCAGTGCTTCCCAACCTTGGCGCAAGCACTTCCCATCGGAGGGGGAAACCGAGGCATGGGGCAACTGCCCAAACCAGAGCCCATCACCTCCCCGGCTCCCCATCGCACCACGGCACTGTTGAAGGCCAACCCGCGCCTCACCTGTCCACGACGAAGGCGGTGACGTTGTGGCTGACGGAGGCAGAGTGCAGTGCCCACTCGCCGTCGGGCAGCTCGCGGCTCTGCACCGTGTAGTAGCGGACTGGGGAGAGCCCGTCGCTGCCCGGCTCCCAGGAGAGCATCACGCTGCGGGCTCGCACCTCCTCCTGCTGGGCCAGCGGCTTCCCGGGGGGCTGCGGGCGGTCTGGGAGAGGCGAGGGGCTGGGAGCACCACGGGCACGCCGCAGGCATGCAACAGCCCCTTCCCGCAGGCTGGACCCCCCCCACCTTTACCTCTCTTCTCCGTGGTCACCACGAGAGCTTCGGCCGCCTCGCCCCAGCCCTTGCGGGTCTGCGCTGCGATGCGGAAAAGGTAGGTTGCCTCGGGCTGGAGGCCGGTGGCCGTGTACTGCCGGGCGCTGGGCTCCAGCACCTCCACGGTGGCCGAGTTGACGGCGGTGGTGTTGAGGCGGTGGGTGACCTGGTATGCTGCGGGGAAGGGAGCGGCACGGTGGGGCTGGTGGAGGGGATGCCGTCCTGGGCTCCCCCCGTCCTGTGCATGCCTCCCTCCAGCCCTGCTCACGCAGAGGGCCAGCAACGAGGGGTTTTTTGGCTCCCTGCACGGGGGAGCTCACACACAGCCAGGGACCCAGCACAACCTGCTGAGTGGGGAAATGCCAGCCCTGGGGGTAACGGGCTTCGAGATGCTCAGGGGGGTCTCAGGGAGCTGGTCTCTGCCACCCCATGCTGATCCCTGCTCTCACGGGACCTCCGGACCTGTCTGCAGAGCATCCCACCGTGGCACAACCGGGATGGCTCCCCACCTACCCAGGATGATGCCGTTGGGTGCCGCGGGTGGCTGCCAGATGAGCCGCACCAAGGTGGTCCTCACTTCGGGGAAGAGGATCCCCACGGGGGGCCCAGGCACTGGAGTGGGGAGAGATAGGGTTCACCAGGGAGTGCACAAGCAAGTGCAAAGTGCCAGTTCCCATCCCTTGGGAATGGGAGCCCTGGGTGTCCTGGTCAGGAGGGAGAGGGATCGTCCCAGGAAACAGGGATGGGATGGGAAGGCGTTAGGCACCCAGGGGACCCCCCAGCCCGTTTGGGTCTCTCTGCCCATCCAGGTGCTATTACCCACCATCATCCAGCGTCTGCTCGAGGACGGGGGGCTGGCTGGGCACACCGTCACCGATCCTGGTGAAGGCCAGCACACGGATCTCGTACAGCGTGTATTTGCCCAGCCCGGTCAGCTGGGCGCTGCGGGAGGCATTGCCCTCCGCCAGCCAGAACTGGGCACGCGTGTCTAAGTCCTTCTCCTTGTACATCACCTGCAACAGACCCCATGTGACACGGCCGGACGGGGCTACAGCCCCAGGATGGAGCAGGGTGGCAAAATTTGGCACGGGTGGGCACCATCTCTTGGAGGTGGCACAACCGGGGACCTGGCAGGCTGCAGGGTGATTCCCCCCCACCCCAGGGAAAGCCATGCTTCCCAGGTCTGCGGGTGAGGTTGGCAGGGCACGGGGCAGGGTTGCAGGCAAGCAAAGCCACAGCACCGGGGCTGGGGTAGGTGCTCACCTTGTAGCCCAGGATGAGGCCGTTGCAGTCTGCCTCGGGGATGTCGCTCCATCGCACCAGCATGCTGCTGGAGGAGGTGGCCAGCGCCGAAACGTTGCTGGGGCCGGAGGAGGGCACTGGAGGGGGGAGTGAGAGCGGGGGTCAGTAGCCGGATCCAGCTGGGGTGGGTACCCGGTGCTGCAGGGTGGGCAGCGGTACCTGACTCCCGGGTGCGTCCCACCACCGAGCGGCTCCAGGGCCCTGAGCCGATGGCATTGAAGGCTTGGACCTGCACCCGGTATTCGGTCCACTCCTCCAGGTCCTCGATGGTGTACTCCCGCTCCACGCGGTCGTGGATGACATGCATCGCCGGCTGCCCTCGCCCGTCCGAGCGTGCGTACCGGATCTTGTAGCCCACAGCGTCGGGGTTCCCGTTGTACTCCTGCTCCAGAAGGGGCTGGCCCCAACCGGCAGAGATGGGAACCATCACTCCCAAGTTCCCGCAGCCACCCCAGCATGGCTCTCCCACCCTCCCGCCTGCCCCCACAAGCCCTGCGCCCGTGGGCACAGACCCCCCCAGAGCCACGGTGTCCCCCCCCTCACCATCCAGCGCAGCCACAGGCTGGTCTCGCTGGCTGTCCTCAGGGTGACGTTGGCGGGTGCCGTGTCCGGGGGGGCCTGGAGGGTCTGGATTCTCCGGGAGGGCAGGCTGGGGGGGCTGGTGCCCACGATGTTCACCTGCCGCATGCGGAAACTGAGAGACGAGAGGGGGGGGTCACGGCGGGGGGCAAGAGGGCTCCGGTCCCCTGGGGAGGATGCCACAGAACCATCCTGGCCACTCGCCTGTAGTAGGTGTAGGGCTTCAGGTTGGGCACCTCCATGGAGCGGGCATCAGGCTCGTTAGCGAGCTGGTGGACGAGCCCCCACTCTTCAGCCTCGCCGCTCTGGCCCACCTGTGGGATGGGAGTGGGGTGAGCTGTTCCCCAGCACCCCCTCACCGCCCCCCCCAGCCGCCCTGTACCTGTGCCTCCACCTGCCAGCGGGAGATGGAGGTTTTGCCGTCGTAGCCGGGGCGAAATTGGAGGGTGACGGAGCGGGGTCCGATGTTGGAGATGCCCAGGTTGGTGGGCGCACCGGGGAGCTCTGCGGGGAGAGGGCAGGGTGGGTGGCACCGGCCGCTCACCCCCAGCACCACCCGCAGCCTGCCGGCATCCCCGCACCGCCGCGCTCACCTGGTGGTACCCCGGAGGAGATGGTGGAGGAGGAGACCTGGCCCTGGCCCTTGGACGTCATGGCAGCTACCTCGATGGTGTAGGTGGTGAGGGCGGTGAGACCGGTGACGCGGTACTCCAGGGTGACGTTGGGCAGGTAATGCGTCACCCGCGTGTTGGTGCGGTTGTATTCTTCCCAGGAGATCCGGTAGCCTAAAAAGTGCCATGTGCCGTCAGCCCCCATCATTGCCTACCCCGAGGGGCTGAGTGGGGCCAGGGGAGATGCTGCAGGGTGGGAAGGGGACTGGGGTGGGAGATGCTGCGGAGTGGGAGATGCTGCGGAGTGGGAGATGCTGCGGAGTGGGAGATGCTGCGGAGTGGGAAGGGGACTGGGGGGAGGATGCTGCAGGGTGGGAGATGCTGCAGGGTGAGAAGGGGGCCGATGCAGGAGCCGGGTACCTGTCGGTGCTCCCTTACCCGTCAGGATGCCGTTCTTCTCCAGCGGCTCTTGCCAGCTGACTTTCAGGGACGTGTCCAGGATGTCACTGAAGCTGAGATGTCCCACGGGGCCAGGCACTGCCCAAAGACACCCAGGCTCAGCACACAGACGCACACTCAAGGGCAGGAGCCCTCGGCACCCACGGGACCCCCACAGGGAGCGAGCGTGGAGGGGACTCCCCTTGCCTTGGGCTTCCCGAGGCTCAGCGGCACCCCGGTTCCACATCCCCACCGGCAACACCAGTGGGACCGAGTCCCCCATTTCGGGGCTGCTCCCACCCTCCCCAGGAGCCACGGGTGGGCAGGGTCCATCCCGCGGGAACGCAGAGCCTCCCCGTACCGTCCTCGTGGGTGCGCACCAGCTGGGGGGGGCTGCGCGGGCCGTCCCCCGGCGTGGTGAAGCACAGCACCGAGGTGAAGTACTCGGTGAATTTCCGCAGCCCGGCCACGTAGCCCACGTGGACGCTGTCCTGGAAATTGGGCCGCACCGTCACCACCGTTGCCTCTTCCTCGTGGTCCGGCTCCCAGGCGATGAGCTGCGGGAAGAAGGAGCTGGGACAACAATACCGGGTACCGGCATCCCCGCCACACAAATCGGTACCACCAACACCCTCCTTATTTATTCAGAGTTGAATAAATATCAATTAATTGTGCAGGGAACACTTGATGCCTTTAACAGAATGTGTTTACCCCTACGAGCCGATACAGAACGCATGCTTTGTGATTAACTCCCATTGATAACGGCGTGTAATCGCCCACTCGCCTGCATTTAGGAGGGATGTTTGGGCATTTAATTGGTATTGTGCGAGATAGCCTATAGCAACTTAATTAAATACTAATTAGGCCCTAAAAATACTAATCAAAAATACTAAGTGGCATTTAATAAGAATGTTAAATATCCTACTTGCTCTGGTTATCTCATTCAGTGGCAATTAAATTCCTGAACTTCTTTTGAGTGGATTAAGAAACAAGTTGAATGTTTTAATTCAATTTCATTAATGTAAATTTGAATTAATTGCAATTTGGAATTAATTACAGAGCATGGGAGGCTCCGAGCCCATGCAAGTGTTAAATCTCAGTAACTATTATTTTAACAGTCAGGCCGGAACCAATTAAAATCTGCGGTTTCGGCGAGAAGTCGAGCCAGTTTGTGAAGGTTGGCTGAGGAGTTTCCCCTCCCCGGCTGCCCTGATTTTGGGGAGACCCGCAGGAATCGCCCCTCACCTTGTACCCCTGGTTGATGCCGTTGATGAACTGGGGGCTGGGGGGGTTCCAGGTGAAGCGGATGGTGGTGGAGTTGGTGGCCTCGGTCTGCACGTTCCCCGGCGGCACCGTGGGGACTGCCGGGATGAAAGGATGGCTCACAGCGGCTCTGGCTCCACAAGGTCCCCTCCGTCGGCCAGGTGCCAACCCCTTGGGACCCCCAGCACCCAGGGTGGTGCCCCAAGACACCCCTGACTGGGCCAGCCCTGCCCTGGCTCTGCAGCCCCTGCTCATCCCTCCCCAGCAGGTCCCAGTCTCCCTGGGACCCCAAAACCCATCCTCCTGCCACCCATCCCCAAGAGCCCCATGGCACAGCCTGTAGCCATCGGGGCGAACGCCAAGCTCCTGCCCGTCCCTGCCCATCCCTGCCCGTCCCTGCCTACCTCCCTGCAGCGTCCACTCGGTCACCTTCATGCTGTACACCCCCAAGCCGGCACTGTTGTATGCCGCCACCTCAATCTCATAGTTGGTCCAGATGATGAGGTCCTCCAGGAGCAGGTTGTTGACGTCAGCATTGGTGATGTTCTTGAACTGGTAGCCCACAGGCAACCCAGCCAGGCAGTACCTGGGGACCA